TTTTTTTTTTTTTTTTTTTTTTTTTTTTTTTTTTTTTTGTGACTGGTAAGGGGATCACAACCCTTGGCTTGATGTCGCCGGCACCGCGCTCAGCCAGTGAGCTCACCGGCCATCCTTATATAGGATCTGAACCCGCGGCGGGAGCGCCACTGCGCTCCCAAGCACTGCACTCTCCCGAGTGCGCCACGGGGCTGGCCCCACTAAAGATATTTTTAAAAATTCATTTTATTTATTTACTCATTAAGAACTCTATGATACCTACCAAATAGTTTGAATGCTAAGTATATCAGTTACACCTTATATCTGACCAAAGTTGATTATATGATAGAACCTTTAGCTATGTTGATGTGTAGTATGATGCATTGCAATTTTTCTGTTGCTTTAGCCTATTGGTGTAGGTATACCAACAATTAATTTAAGAAAAAGGAGACCCAATGTTCAGGTAACTGTGAATGAAGGTAAACTTAGCAGTGCTTTCAAACTTACTAAATCTGAGCTGAGATTAAGCTTCTGTTCTTAAAGCTTATGATTAAAGCCGCCTTTCCTGACATCAAGCTTCCAGAGCATGAGATGGGGAGGAGCATCATTTCTCAATAAACCAAAGCAAAAATGTGTTAATGATGGTTGAGGGTATGTGTTGGCTGACTAAAGATTGCTAAGTAAATTATGTAATAATGATGGTAACAATCACGGTAATCATAATGAGATGGCTTCTAAAAAATAAATTTGTTATTAAATATTGTGAAAGTAATATCAAATTCATGTGATCCTAACAATTTGCTTGTAAAATTGACTTTAAATGGAAATAAAAATACAATTCCTATGTGACAGTTTCATAAACCACAAGTTTTAAGCCAAATTTTTTAAAAATTTCTAAAAGTGTATTTTTGCATTCAAAATTAGAGAAATTTCCCTTTAGCTAATTAAAAACATCCAAAATTGCAAATAGATAGTGTGAATTTTTATTTCCTGGTAAACTCACTACAAAATCTTTTCTCTGTTGGAAACAAAACTTAAAAGTTATTATATGTACACATGTGTCTATACACACTCTAAAAATTAGCATGAAAGGATGCCTCCTACAGTTTAGGAAGAGAATTTCAAGAATTTCAAAGGCAGTTCTACATTATTTAAGATTTTATATGTAAGCATACCATTTCTTGAAGAAAGTTGGTGACATTATAAAAGAGAGGTAGTATGATATTAAGAAAAGATTGTTAAGCTTCAATTAGTAGAACTGAATTCTAGTAATAGACAGCACTATATCCTTGAGCAGTTCCCTAAATCCTATAGATCTTCAGTTTCTTCATCTGAAAAGCAGGAGAATTGAACTAATTATTGTTTTCCACCCTATACAATAAAATATATGTATTTATCCCTGGCCCTATCTCCTGAAAATTCTGATTTTATTTGGCCAAGGTTGGGACCCTGGCCTCAGAACAGTTTTTAAATTTCCCCAGGTTGTTCTAAAAGGCAGAGCCACTGGACTAATAGTAGCTTTAGTTCCCTTCCAGCTCTAGAATTCTGTGACAATCTCAATTTCATGTTGTTGTATATGAAAGTCTACATATCTTTTACAATTCCTATAAAGACTAAAATTATGTTTATGCCTTTCTTGATATTTTATATTTTGTTACTCTCTTTGCATGTTTCTTTTTATGTATTATCTTAAATTCTACATTTTGCGGTCATGTGCATTTTTAGTGAATTTTTATTTTTGCAAGAACCTCAAATATTGCATGAAATGACATAATTAAAAAATAAACAAACTGAAAAATGGTTTGTTTTATTTTCATTTTCATTCAAAGAAAACCACAAATGGCAATCTAGCAAACCACACAAGACTTCTCAATTTGGGGAATATTTTTTGAACTATATAGTATTTGAAATAATAAAAACTAATTATTTCAATTTAAAATTTATTAACAATACTGCATTGTCTTTTATTTTTTTTCCACAAATGAAGTGGTAGTTATGTTCAGTTGATATTCAAATTTTACAAATGAGAAATATTAGATTTTCAAATATGAGACAAAAGTAATAAGCATGCAGGTCCTAGATTCAGTTCTTACGCCTGTCAGTGCTTTCTTCTTAGAAGATTATGCTTTTGATTTTTTCAGTCACTATGCCTGTGATGGGTCTTTTATAAAATGGTCAGCCAGATTGCCATTTAAAAAGTACAAGTGATGCACTGACATTTTTTCTTGTATGATTTCATTTTCTTCTCTGTGTCTTTATATGTTGGATTGGGACATGATCTTCATATTGCCAATTCTTCCTGATAATACCTCCTCCCTGCATGCTGTTTGGGTCTGGTCATGCTATGCATTATCCATTGCATGTAAGATAAATATTCCTATTTCTGTTTACATTTTATTATTCTGATTATTTTGACTTTGTTTTGCAGTGAGTTTGTTAGTTTTAATGCTGATATGATGATGTTTGTGTGAAAATGATTTACTTCATGGGACTTTAAGCAATTCTGAGTAAATTATAGAGTATCCTTTTGTTAGGGACTTTCTAGGTTTCATTTGTTAATTTTCACTTTTATTTTATTTATTAAAGTGCCAAACACAGCTGAGATTTTTTTAATTTGCCTTTAAGCATTCTCATTTATCAAAAACCATGTAAATTAAATATTTCTATCATTTAAATGGAATTACCCTTTGAAATAAGGTTTTTGTCATAATTATAAAATAAATATATGCCATGTATACTATGTCATTCAGCACCTAAAGAAGAGATGCTTAATTTTAATATAATTTAAAATTACTGTTGTTGTCTTGGGAAGTCTATCCTCCTAAAACAGTGTTTAAAATAGTGACGATCTGAACATCTTTTGGAAGAGCCTGTGAGGCTGTGATAGTATTAGAATTCCAGTGACCCTTGTATAATCCAGCATAGTTTCCATTTATTACTGCTGTGTATTTAATTATCTCATTGGGTAATATTTATCTTAATAAACATTAAAAACCCCAGTTTCTAAAGTTCTGTAATTATAAAATTACATACGCTTATTACGGTTTTATTATTCTAGTGAACTTTGAAATTCTAGTATGACATGTTACAGTACTTATCAAGGGAATGAGTATGTTTTGTTCATCAAATAGTTCAATGAATATTCATTTTGTGATTGAGAAATTAATATTATGTCATCTGAGGTAAATTTGCCAGACTAATGTATCATTTATATATAGATAGATACATAAATTATATAAATATGTAAATAAATATAGATTCTGTTTTGTTCCACAGTGAACTTTATTTATTACACACCAATGAGGACATATTAAAGCAGGAAATAGAATTTAAGGGTTATTATTTTAGTTAGACTGTAATTACAATAGCTAACTTTTAGTAAAGTCTTCATGACTTGATCACAAATTGTAATTTATAAAATCTTGACTTAATTTGAATTACTGAAATGTAACCTAAAATATCCGAGATTCAAATATGTGAAGCAAACTTGCATCTTTCTATAATGCATTTTCAGAAGGAAGAATACTTCTAATAGAATTTGTTTTACTTAACAAATCCAAACATAATTTTAAAACATCTTTCATAGTATATTTTCTTATTTCTTTATAGAATACAAATTTTAAAAGTAAGCTTATATTTGCCTTTATTTTATTGCCAAATAAGTTATCCAAATGGCTATATTTAGCCCCTTGCCCATGTTAATTTAAGAAAAGAAGTTGTGAGTGGATCTTCAAAGGCATGTTCACACAGAACTTGTGATCATAAATGCAGTATCTAATACAGCACTCCAAATAAGACTGTCTTCATTGGTGACTGAAATGTGTCTGCCACACTTAAAGCTCAGTCTGAATCTGTTTAGCTTTATGTATACGTATGAAAGAAGTTACCTTTAGAGATTATTAATTAGTCTTAGGTAAGTAATTTTTACAGAATTAATTTCGTATTTAAATATCCATTAAATTCTGTACACCACGTCATAAGTACTTAATTATTATTATTGTTTTTTGTGTAGAACCCCAAATCTCAGGAGCCAGTAACATTGGATTTCCTTGATGCAGAGTTAGAGAATGATATTAAAGTGGAGGTGAGTGTAATCAGTAGGACTAAGTAATACACTCAGGTCAGATGCTGGGATTCATCCGTTCTACAAGTATCTGCTGAGCAGCTTCATTGTTTCAAGCTATTGGTTAGGCCATCAACACAAAGAAGAATGTTCTTTGTCTTCAAAAAGTTCAACATCCTGGGCTTTCTTATCCGAAAGATTATAAAAAGGAATAATAAAGTTGGCTGTGACCTCAGTTTTTTTTCTTTTTCCTTCCAAGGGTAGAGATACTTTAACTATTTCAATACAAATGTAACTTGTAAATTTCAATAAAAATCATGCAGATGGAGGATGTTTTTATACAGTTGAAAGAAACGTTGAAGGGGATCCAACCAGATGATGAGTGTAACGTTAGGAGAGGCAGCTGCCATGTTTGCCTTAGTACTCTTTACTCAGCAAATTTCTATTTTATTTCAAAATTTCTCTGAAGGGTCTTCCACAATAAAGGTATTCATACTAATACAAACAACAACATTTATTAAGTACATGATATATGTCAGTCATGTATTCTCAAAAGCCTTTGAAGTAGGTATTACTGTTACTATTATTATCATAATCTGTTGTACTGATGAAATGTTTAAGGCCCAGAGAGGTTAAATAGTTTTTCTACAGGAACTCAGCTAGGAAATAGCAGAACTTGCACTCCAGATTTTTAGTATCTTTGCAGACAGATTAACTCTTTCTCTTATCTATGCAGAGGTCATCATATTTATTTTATAATTTGTCACAGTACATTTTAATTTGTACTTGACTTATGTATTTTGTACATTTACTCCCTCGTTGTAGAATAGAATTTAATTGTTTATTATAATTACCATAGACTGTGGCATAGTGCTGGGGTATTTTGGGTGATTAATGAATGTTTGTTGTAAAGTATTTGACATAATAAAGAAAGATAAAGTAATGGTGGCAAGCTTGGTGTCTGGACAACCGCTCTACTGAGTGACCACAATGATCATCTGTAAGCCTCAGTTTCCTCTCAATCAATCAGTATAGTGATTGAATGAGACAATATATAGAAAGAACTCAGTGAAGGGTCTGGTATATGGTAAAGTCTTTATTATGTTATTTCTCATCTCCTCATAAGTGGACACACAACTTACCTTAGGAACTGTCCTCTGCTCCTTACTTTCATACCCCAAATATTTTAATCAAATTAGATCGAGCACGTGTTCTTCAAATTCAAATTATTTCTTTTGTCACACCAAATTTGTTCGCTTATCTGCAGTTACCAAAAGTCAGATCTAAATCACTGGTTAAATTCTATAAAATGAAAAATAAGTTAAAGAAAACTCTGAGAATTTCAAGTAGACAGGAATATTTTGTGAGTAGTGTGACCTTACTCATTTTTAAGGATTTGAGAAATTCTCTTTTAGGAGAATAACTATGTTATATTCAATCCAAGTAGGTCTTTATAATTTTCTCTATCCTTTAGATTTTTGTACTGCTAGATATGGCAAAAACTAAAAAGTATAAAGAGTACTCTTAAAAAATCTTTTCTCACATGAAACTCGTTATTTGTGTAAGGCAGAAATTTGAAGCATTCAATATTAGATGCTAAATTTGTACATATATATACATTTCCATTTCTCAATGACTACTTTTCAATGTGGCCAGCCCTCAAGGAAATTGAGCACCCTTTTATTAATATATTTAAAAAATTAATAACTGGTTGAAAATATATTGTCAAGGATGTTTTCATTGTTTTAAAATACATCCAGTCCCTGAATGAGGATGGTTCAACTTAACATTTGTCGACTTGAGGATAGTATGAAAATGATAGGCATTCGATAGAAGCCGTATGTCATTACTCATAGATCCATTCTGTTTTTCATTGTCAGTACAGTATTTGAGAAATTACATGAGATATTCAATAATTTATTATAAATTAGGGAGCTGGCTAGTTAGCTCGTTTGGTCAGAGTGTGGTGCTGATAAAATAGGCTTGGGTTAGATGACTTTGCCCAACAGGAGGCTAATGTAAATATTCTGAGTACATTTAAGGTAGGCTGGGCTAAGCTATAGTGTTTGATAGGTTAGGTACATTTAAATGCATTTTTTTACTTAGGATATTTTCAGCTTATGATGGGTTTATCGAGATGTAACCCCAGTAAGTTGAGGAGCATCAGTAAAAAGACTATAATGTGGTAAATTACAAAAAAAAAAAAAAATTCTCAGAGAACAACTGGAATTGCTAGTAAAACCAACCTACTCTTTTTATTCGATCTGCTCTAAATAAGGTAAAAACCTTGAAAAACTAATATTTTAATAAACATATTTTTGTACATCGGTTTGGTTCCAAGAATAAAGTAATTATTTATTTCCCCTCAGATTCGTAATAAAATGATAGATGGAGAAAGTGGAGAAAAAACATTCAGAACTCTAGTTAAATCTCAGGATGAGGTAAGAATTAATTCAGGCTTATTCATAAATAAAAGTATGTGTTAAGAATAATTAATATTGGTAATTTGTCTTTCTTTTCCATTAATCTAATATATACTTATAAAACAGGGATATCTCTAGTAAATAATTTTTCTTTTCAAAGGCACTTCTTGTTTTCACTAGGATATATTTTTAACTCTTTTTTTTTTCCTTTTTATAAAATAATGTTGCTTTAGGTTTCTTGATGCATTCTGTGTTGACAATTTATTCTTGAAAATTATATTTATAGATTTTTATCATTATAAGATATAGAACACAATATAATTTTGTGCCATGTTGTTTTAGGACCATGTCAATAATGCAAAATTGGAGTTAATATTCAATAGCTGTGTATTTTATATGATTTGTACATGCAGATATTCAAATTGTTCTTTCACATACTGTTTTATTAGTTTTTTGTTTATTTACTGTTTCTGGTTTGATTTATCTTCCTTTACTATTTATAGACCTTATAATACATTTAGATCTGAAATTAATTCATGTGATAACAGAACTGCCCCCATCAATCACTGGTTTATGTAATAAATTTATATTGTTTTATGTTGGCAGGTAAGAGCTCTTTGTATAGAAGGAGTGTGTCTGTCCTTATCAGTCACATGTGGAGTAAATGTAGACATTTACATATTTAAGTATTTGAAAAATATATAAGACTCAGAAGCTTAATTTGGAAATTTAAGCTATTATATTATATATCCTTTCTCTCACAATCTCATCCTTTTTAGATGTATGCATTTCTTCCAAATTCCTCAGCAGATCTTTCCCTAAGATGGACCCAGGATCTAAATATCTAATATGTTCTCCTTTCAAAGCCCTCAGAACCATACCCATGAAGTAAGGCATGGTCCTTACAATCTAATTACCTCTTCAAGGCCCCACCTTTCAATTATCATAATATAATTTCCTACCCTCAACAGTTAACAGTTGGGATTAAGCTTCAATGAGGTTGTCGGGGAGGGCATCCAATGTACAGCAGATAGATACAGAAATCTTCAATTATTATAATGCTCCTTCCTCCAGATTTTAATGCATGTTTGTGTTTTCATTTTAAGAAATTTATATTTTACTCTGTGAATGAATACAATTTTGTATTGGTACTCCCTGATTATTTTAGATAAAAACAATTATAACATTGTACATACATATTATTCTGGTTTTAAGATTATATCTTAAAGGAAAATATATTTCTATATAAGGGGTTTGGCAGGAATGTTTAAAATGTGATACTTACTTTCAAATTACAATGTTATTTGGTTTAGTTTTACCCAAAGTAGCTGAATTCTTTAGGCTGAGGTTAGATATTGACTGTGAAGTTCAATATTTTTTCTTTTAGGAAATCATGTAAACTTTATTTACATCATTTTCCATGTCTGTGAAATGGGAAACTCCAGTATTAGCACATCAACAATGTTTGGCATAATGAGCTAGAAGCAATTTTAAATTTCTCCCATATGAAATGTTTCCCATAGAGTCTCTCTTCACATCTAACTGGGATTTTTTTTGTTGTTTTGTTTTATTTTTTTACCAAAAACCTGTCTCAAGTTAATTTGTAAACATCTTTTTTCATGGTCATGTCTTTCAGGAATCTAACTATTTTGTGAAAAACTAAATGAGTGAAATAAATAAGAAATTATATGAATAAATAATCAAATATTTAATGCACATTTGCAAACCCTCATTTATTATACTATTATTTTTATGGATTTTAATGTTTCTACTGAAATAAGGTTAAAATACAATTAAAGCATTTCTGTTTAAATCCATGCCCAAATTATTTGTAGGAATCTGAAAATAGTTTGTACTCATTATGTGTACTATGAGTAGTCCTATGTTTATAACTATATTATTGGGTAAAACTAGAATGCATTTGTACTATTTCATGCAGGAATTTACTGAAAATAGTAGAATTAAATAAACTTACTTCTATAACAATTTCCACAAAAGCTAATTTGAGAATATTCCCAAACTTAGTAAGCAGGTAACTGAAAAATTAGATACAGGTACTAGCAATGTTTAAAACTATCTATTTGGTTGCTTTATTACAAACTGCACACTGAACATGATTGTAATTTCTGCTATTGATATTGAAAAAATATTTTGTATTTTTATTTGCCTAATCTGAATACTACTTTTGATACTTTTTTTTTGTAACTTTCTGAACCACTCTAGTTTGCCGTGGTTTTTATGAGTAGTAACAAATATATTCTTTTAAGAATTTTACTAGTTCAAAAGTCTCCTCACCAATTCCATGTCCCCTCCCCATCTGCTCCTCTACCTGCCCCCCCCCCCCCCCCCCCCCACACC